GGCAATAACAGAATGATACTATAATCAAAACATTTTTTAAAAGGTATAAACTATTCCCCAGGAACCGAAGTCTCTTCAGGAACCAGCCAACCTTTATTTTTCAAAGGTAAATCCTTTACAAGTCTGGGACACTAATGCAATTCAACCCAAATGATTTAGAAAAATCACCTTTGCAAAAAATATCTGATGCCATGTTTTTTAAGTCCCAATCTGTTCATAATTCAAATATTTTCAATGGAAAAAAAAAAAGACGAGACTGAGAATAATGAGCGGTGTTTACCTGCCTAGTTGTTAAGCGCCCTGTTTACTTCAGACGCCGTTACCACAACTTGCACTTGAACTAGCCTCTGAAATTACTTCTCAGTCTAAACGAAAAGCGGTGCTAAGTTCTTCTGAGAATATAACCAATATGAACACAATTTGGAGAGTCGTGGGTGTACTTTTTTAATACACTAAGCGCACAATGTAGACAACCTGCCACCCTGTGAAGTGGAACCAGTGCCACCAACCCCTCTCTAGAAAGTGTCGGTCTCTTGTTCGTCTCTAGACAGACTGTACATTTTTTACAAATGTGAAAAGTATTATAATTATATATCATGTGGCATAAGTTTTATTACTGACGTGCCATTGTTTTGGTACTACAATGTATTTCTGTATTCCTTCCTGCAAAACGTACTTCCATTAGAATTATATGGCTGGGTCTTTTCACCTCCCACTTTTGTGCTGGATAGAATTACTTTTTTCTGATTAGTAACTAAATAAATCATTCCAGTGCAACTCATAAAGACATTTTTGCATTACTTTCTTTACCATCAATTCAGTGGGCTAATGAATCATGACATTATTTGTTTCTATAAAAAACTGTAACAAAGAAACCAGACACTAAATATTAGTTGAATACAAAAATGTGCATGTCATCTGTTTTTGTGGCACTCCACCTGGATTGTGCAAGTAAATGAAGTCGGCAATGAGAACCACAATGTGCAAGAGATAGCACTTAACTGAAGTCGTGAGAATGAACAAGACTTGGTACTTGCCCTCAGGGCTGGACGGGAAACCGTGTACGTGAACAACTGTGATACACGGCAGCACGGGGCAGCATGAGGTTCTATGGAGAAAAATAAGTTAAGATTAAGTAACCCATTACTAACCCATTACTAACCCATAAGCATTATCACGGATAAGATGCTGTCTTCACCTTTAGTCTGGTCTTGATGCAATTCTGGCAGAGAAAGGTGCTTTTTTTTTTCTGGTTTGTCCTTTTTTCCCCATGAAAATGGCTTTACTGTTTTGCAATTTTTTAAATAAACTTAAATTTCCAGAAGAAAATAATTCATTGCAATAAAGACGTGGAAGATAAATTTGCAAAAAAAAAATCTCAGAAAAGAGAGCAAAAGAGAAAAAACGGGAAAGAAGAGAGTACAAAAACACGAGTAACATCTAAGAAGTTCGACATCCAAAAAGTAAACATTCTGGAAAGCAAGAAAAAAGAAAATAAAAGGGAGAAACTCCTTTAAAAATAATTTAAGGTAATTTCCTAGAATTGAAGGACATAGGTTTGCAGACTACAGGGCTACTAAGTGCCCAGTACAAAGGATGAAAATAGACGTAAGCCAACACATGTCATACATTTTCAGAGCACTAGGGATAATGAGATCATGTCAACTGCCAGAGAGAAAACGGTAAGAAGGTCCTTCTCATTCCAGCCCTGCACACCCCCCCCACCCAGTGTGACCTCCCCCAGTACAGTACAGTGCTGCCCCCTTTCCACCAACCTCCCCTCAAGTCAGGTCATGTCCCTCCTCTGTTTAAAACCCTCTTGTACCTAACAGTGCTCTCCGAATAAGTAAAAATATAAAGAACACAGGGGAATCAGACTTTAAAACCACCTCTCAAGTCTGATGATGCTTATGAGCACTGACATTTTTGAATGAACGGATTAAAGATTCTGCTTTACAGACAGCTACCAAAATGGAGTTTCCCTTCTTCCCACCTCACTCTTCTCGTCTTGTTTTCTTTTCCCCTTGCAGTTCCCCTTGGTCATCAGCCCATACTTTTTGCTGCCGAATGTCAGCACTATCAGGATCAGCATCAACCACATGACCTGCTCCTGGAGTAGCGTTTTTCATGTGAGAAGTCAGGGCAGGGTTTCAAAAGAGCAACCAAGAAGTGGACAGAGTTCCCATGTGAATCAAGATTCCTTCGATTCTCCGTGGGGATATTACGAGGGAGAGAAAGAACAAGCTGAACATGGAAGTTCTATCCAATCAGCTTAGGCTTCCCCACTTTGCATTGGCCCTCAGAGTATCACTAGTTTAGAGATTAAGAATTACATATGCCCTGAATAATATAAAAAGTGCACAATATATATCCAACCAAATCAAACCGATCAAATGGAACCCCAGGTTCTTGAAACTAATAAACTTGTACTTTTGGTTCAACGTTCAGGAACTATTTATTGAATACTTGCTTCATCTCAGGCACTTTATCCAGGTGGTGGGCAAGCAGCAAGGAAGAGACAGCTCCGGTGCCTGCCCCCTTGCACTTACGTTCTAATGAGAGTCAGAGAATGAACAAGACAATAGGGCAGTGGAATGCACAGAGGCTGGGAGAAGATCTGTGAAAAGGGGCTTAGGTGGGTGTCAGAGGGAGACTCTGGGGAGATGTTTTTCACCTGAGACCCGAACAATGAGAAGGAGCCAGCCAATGGAAGACCGAGGACGACCAGGCACAGAGGAGAGTGCGAGTCGAGGGCCTGCAGCAGAAACGAGGTGAAGTATGTGAAAAATGAACACACACACAAACTGGCCAGAACATAAGGCAACACGAGGACGAAGGCATGATGAGAGCAGAGCGGGAAGCAGTGGCCATACTATGTGAGCGCTGGACAGGCCACGGTCAGGGAGGGATTCCTCTTCCTCGTAATGAGAAGTATTTTTCTAGAAAGCTCTCGGTAAGACAGCCTCTTTCATATCATTTCCCGGGCCACAGTACATATTTACTGTTAACTTCAAGAAACAAGCAAATGAAAATTGTCTCACCTTTTCATTTGACCAGTCACCTACACATATGGAAATTTCTTTTTTTGAATGAGGATATAATTATGTGTCTTTCCTGGGGGAAAATTCTTGATGAAGGAATCAAGGAGATTCAATACCAGGTCAATACTTTTTCTGTGCCTAAGATTGCTCAGCATGCCACCACCCTGAACAAGCTAGGACTGGTAATGACAGGGCTGAAATCTTCACTCGAGCTAGTTTGTGTTGCAAATGCCACATTATTTCCAGATACTTTAAAATTTCTTGTGTTCTTCCCTCCCCTTTTGGTGCATACACACAGGTGCCTCTCCTTACCTTCTACTCTGCATCAGTCCCACCGCTGAAGGCACTGCCTGATGCACAGAAGCATTATCCATCAACGTAAGCACAGGCTTCTGCCAGAGGCACTTGGTTAGGGTTTGCCAGCCAACGTAAAACAAGCCATTTACATCGATTCAAGGGATCCATAAAGCTGAAAGTCATGGAGGAGCCGCTGCTAGTTAGGGCAAGAGTAACAGGACAACTGAGACAAAACTATTTCATTGAAAGGCTTTAAGGGACCCATTTTCCAGTGTCACTTTTGCTGTAATGTGCAATTGCCCCAAATAATGCAAGAATCAAAAATTGCCGAAAGGAAGGAAACCAAAACACAGTGCGCCAGCTCTACAGATAGGATCTCTATTGTCGAGTTCCCCGCACCCTACCCAGCCTGGTTAATAAAATGCGACATTAAAATATCATTCCTTTTGAACACTCAGAAACATGGCTTTGTTTCTTCTATTAGAAAACTATTTAAGTCCATAAAATTGAGATGTATTGATGGTGAAGCCTTTTCTTTATTTAAAACACCAAAATGCTGTGTACATATTGAGTCTAAGAGTCTCTGGCCCTGTGAACACCCAGGCCACAACACGGTGGTCTCAAGTCAGTGTGCTGTACAGATGGAATGCTATCATCTTCTCCGCCTCCCCACGGCCCTCTCGTTCCTGCACTGCATCAGTCAACAAGCCTTGCTAGTTCTGTGTCCGAACCTCTAACCAAATCCACGCCCCCCACTTATACTTACACTGCTTTAATTCGGGCTCCTGCCTTCTCCTCAGACAAGCTATTCTAATCATTTGCAATCAAAAACTCCTGATTTCTTCCTGACCAAGCTCAAACGCCACCTCCTCTATGAAGACCGCCCAGATCTCCAAGGCACATTTAAATCACACCCCAGGAGCTCACGGTACCCACGACTCTCACAACACAGGGCACCGTCTCCTGCAGAGCCGCAAGGAAAAGCCCGCAAGCCCCATGCAGAACTGTGAGTGTTCCCGGAGCCTTGTTTAAAAGGTAAGAAGTGGTTGGTGAATTTTAATAATACATTTTATTTGATCAGGTACACCCGAAATATTATCATTTCAACATGTAATTAATATAAAAAGATATTCTACAGTTTTTCATACTTATCCTTTGACATGCAATGTGCATTTCACATTTGCAGCACATTTTAAATTTAGACACTAAGTTGCCATCGAAAATAATTTATCTGTATTTAGATGTCATAAAATTTACAGCTGAAAAAGTGTAGATGCACATACCCAAGTTCTCCAAATGTACTTGTAAGTTTTATAACTGCATCGATATCAACTTTTTATTTTAAAATAAAATCAGCATTGAAAGAGCCGTTGCTGTGTCACGTGCCTCATTTCTACTGCTCGGCAGCCGCGTGCAGCCGGTGGCTGTGGGACTGGACAGTGAGGAGCTGCTGCAGCCGCTGGTGCACATACCTCTCTCCGCCCCACGACATCAGGCCACGTCCAATTCACTGCTATTCCCCCTTCTGTCTCGGCACATAAAGGGTGTTGGGTGAAAGTCTGCTGACTAGATGAAGAAAAACAGATGCAGAAACCATTTGACTCCATCGTAACGTTAAATCAAAAGCATTTTCAGAAGGAATATAAATGGCCGTTTTTATAAATACATACATACACACACAAACACAAGCAGAGGACTATGTGAAAACGTGTGAGGACTAAGTATATTTGATTTGTTACTGATTCCTTCAGTGAAAATCACTGCGTGCGCACTATTCCCCGTCCCCTCCTCCATCTACCCTCCTTGTCTTAATGCCTTTACGAGACCTCTGAACAATTAGCACTTCATAATCTGTTCTTACATTCTCTAGCTGTTTCTCCTCCATCTTGCCTTTTCAAATAATATTTTAAGCTTCTTCAGACAGAGATCATCACTTGTGCTTCATATCTATCGTCACAATGGTAGTAACAAAGTACAAGAGTTTCACGTGTGACATATAATCAGTTCTCAGACGACTTCTTTTTCAGTGAACCTTTCCCAGTCAATCCTAGAGGGCCAGCCTCCCAGCACTCAGATTCCTACCAACATGTCTGGACTGCTGGGGCCAGCGACCTCCCCACGTAAATCGACTCTTCTCTATGTGCTACAGCACGTTCTGCGTGTGAGACTGTCCTTCACCCCCCAGAAGGTAGGGGGTGCTTCCAATCTGTTTCAATACCCCACGTTACCTAGGTGCAGTGATCTCATCAAAACAGACCCTTCGGCAGGTACCGCTTCCTGTCCCCACTTGCCACTGCCATCAACCCCTGCTGGCCATGGGCTGTGGCGTCAACATGACAGAGGGGAGCTCTGTGAAGGTACAGACCACTGTGGCCTTGTTAGGAGCAGCTCCGTACAGAGAAATAACTCTGATAATCAGTGCACACATAAGTTTCCACAAAGGGGAATACAGTAGGTTTATCTTTTATTCTATTGCTGCTTGAACAAGAACAAAATAAAAAAACAGGAAGATGTCTTGGCGAATCAGTCACGGGGTTCCTCCGAGTCGGAGTTGGGGTTCTCCCGCTTCAGCTGGGACAGGCCTCGGAGGGCATCTATCTCCGCAGGAGTGAACTTGGGGGTGAGCATCACAGCGTCGTAATCAAATTCGTCATCAAGATGGAAGGGCTGCACTTCATCCCCGAGTATCTACGAGAGGTAACAAAGGAGGGCAGTCATTCACCATCCTTGTTCATGAAGATGAAGTGGAACACATAAATTCCCTATTCACATTTCATTAAACTTTTTTTAGACTTTAGCTCTCTCGGTGATTACGCTCTTTTTAAGTAAAGGAATAAAATCAATTATTTGATTTGACCTAATTGAAGCCCCTTAATGTGCCCCATCTGCACCATCAGACTAAATGAATGTCATTAACTAACTCTGCCCGTGGCAAGAATCGGAAAGACTCTCCTGCACACGTTCGTAACATTTTTACCGCTTGCAGTGTTAGGGTTGGAGGCACATGGAAAAACTAGTAGTCACATTAAAGGGTGAAAAATATATCTTAAGATTTTGATCAACCTTGAATATACTTTCACCATTTACTATAAAAGACAGATCGATAAAACAGTTTTCAAGGTTAAAAATAGTCTACACTTAATACATTGCTCCTTCAGATAATACCTATAATTCCTGGGCCAACGACAGTAGCAAAACACATAATACCACCTTAAAAAGTCTAGGATCCCTTGCGCTACCAAGAATATTTGAAATATTACAGAATTTATCTATAAGTCAGAGTAACTGCAAAGAGATGTAATAATCTTGTATTTATTTATTCACAATCTGTGTTTTAAAGACTTCCTAAAAGAAAGTAGATTTTAAACAGCATATTTTTCCAATAAACAAAAAGAGAATGTTTAAGTCTCATCGTATCATTCCTTAAAAAGCCTCTCGAAAAGCACATGGTGTGTGGTACAATGAAATCATCCAGGACCTCGGCATATACCCTGCCCAATACTACACAGTTAGAAGCAAGATCTGGATCCAAACTAATCTGCTTCAGATAAAACTCCATCTTCTCATAAAAACACCAGCAAAAATCAACCAACCTCGAAGTGTTCACTGAGCCAAGTCATAGCTGTTTGGGAGAAAGGACCTTTTCTACATAAGCTAAATAAACCCCATAGCGTATCATTTAAAAAGTACTCGACGCTCCACCTAATCCCGTATCTGTCTATATAAAAGAGAAGCTGTACACAGGAAGCAAGTCGTCACAAAGTAACAACAGGGTGAAGTTGCTGAGAGCAGCTCAAATGAGGAAACACACGGTCAGTCGAGGACACAACATGCTCGTTTCCCGGACACACGCATCCCAGCAGTCTCCCACTCCGCTCAGCGATACGCACTGAGGCAGGCAAGCCTTGCCCCATCCTGAGCCGATTCTAAGGGACCCCATCGGGGACAGGAGAAGTCCCATCGTTACCAGTGCAGCCAGTCTAATGGGATTCTCGCTGCCCTTTTACACCTGCTTAAAGGACCAGCACCCGCACGGCTGCCACGGTGCAGGCTTCCCAAACTCGCATGTGTGCACTGCAAGGACTTTCCCTGCCACGTCTAAACCTGCTCAGACTTTTACTAGCCACTCTCGCTAGATGGAGTCTCACTGTTTCCTGGAAGAGGTGCTATCTAGGCAGAATCTGAAGTGGTAACATTAATTAACAAGGTTGGGGGAAGAAGAGATTTGCAGACAAGGCCAGTTCTCATGAGCAGGCCAAAGGAAATGAGATGCTGCCAGGGCGCCGCGTGCAGGTGCAGAGTGGCAGAGAGGAGTGAAGGTGTCACCAGGTCGTGACATGTCTCATACGCTGCTTGTCCTGGAGATGATGAACGTCACTGAAAGATACTTTGAAAGCGGGGTAGATACTTGGTCACCTTACGCATTTCAGATAAATTTCTTCATTCACATTTTACCTGAGCACCTCCAAGGAGACAGGTGCTGGAGAGACAGCCCTGTACAAAACAGAGAGACGCCCTGCCCTCTTGGAGATCACATCTAGATGGGACGCTCTGAAGACTAACCAGACGATAGCGTTGGAGTCAGGATACTAGTCAGGAGCGTGCGGAAACAGTCCAGGCAAGAGGGTAACAAGAACAGGGCTCTATTAGAAGAGGTTCAAAAACATTAGAGAGTTAAACTGGCAGCACTTGATGACTGATTTGGACATGGCAAGGGACGATCCGTAGGTTCCTAACAGGATCCAGATAGAAATGTCAACAGGCAGGCAGACATACAAACCTGAAGCTCTGAAGAAAGCCTGAATGAAGCTGGAGAGAAAGACTGGGAGACATGAGCATTAAAAGTCATTCTATGGATGAAAATGGATCCCAGCACGGCGGCGGGAAGGGCGGGAGGCCCAGCAGGCACCCCTGAGGCGCAGCCCCCCCAGGGAGGGTGGAGGGACGAGGCAGGGGAGGAACAGTCCGGGAAACACACAGACAGGCTGGGGGCGCAGTGAAGGGAGACCACTGTGGTTGGAGCCAAGGATATTTCTCAGTATAGTGAAAGGGAACGAGGGCAAAAAGAAGCAGATTAGCAGAGTTGAAACTAATGGTTTCCCAAGTCTCCATGAAAAGAGAGGCAAAAGAATCGACAATAGCCAAAGAAGGGTCCAAAGTAAAGTTGTTTTGTTTTAAGTAACTGAGAGACTTGAACACAGTCAGATGTTGAGCAAAATGAACCCACACAGAAGATAAGAATGACCCTACTGTAACCACTTGATTATCCTAGGAAACCGCTCCCTAGGATAGGTGGTGAGGCTCCTTATTTATTTATTTGTTCCTTCAACGTTCACTGCATGTCCACTACACCCACAGCACTGAACTCGGCACTAGTTCTCACATTTTGCATTTTAATTCAGTTAGCTTATGACGACATGCATGAATGAGTGAGTGTATAGATTCCCTAAAGGGGAACATACGTAATTCAAATGAAACGAGATACACACTGTAATTCGGAAGGCACAGCTGTGACCCTAGAAGGAGCGGTTTTAAAATGCAGTAATGTAGCGATTCCACTTATGTATTTCAGCCGCTGGCACACTTGGAGAATTCCCTCCTTTGAAGGTAGGTTCACTTTAGGGTCCTGAGCTAAGACTCTGGGTTTTTAGATTACACGCTCAAATTCTGATTGATTTCAAAGGGAAGAATTTGTGCAAGGGAGCGCCAAATCCCCTGCTATTAAACAGAAAACAACTGCGAATTAAGTTATTAACTTGTTATTTTTGCCTAAGGAGCTGAGAGAAATATGTAGATTTCAGGTGTCTAATTTCAAATCTAATTGAAACCTTCTTGTAGCCTCTCGGAGAGTAGAATGTGTGCAATGGTGGAAAACTGCTAGTTTCCTTAAAATTGCTCATGGGACTTTTCTCAGAGAGACTGCCACAGGAGGAGCCGTTTTCATTCACAGTACCACGTAGGCCGATTAAAGAAAACAGAACTAATGCTCAAATCAATAAGAGCAGCATTTAGCCATAGGCTCTCTTACAAAGCAATATGGTAAGTACACGGTCTATGTAGGTGAAAAAATTTTAAAGTCCCAAATGAACTGGAAAAAACAGAAGAACCCTCACTGACATACTACAATTTCTTCCAATGTCTTCTATGGGTTGAGGGTGGGAAGGGGAACTCACAATTTTTCATCTTCCTAATGTGCATTATTTTCATCAAAACAGATTAACTACCCTGGTCGGTGCGGCTCCGTGTTTGGAGCATCGTCCTGTGCACCAAAAGGTGGCCAGTTCAGTCCCTGCTGGGAGCACGTATGGGAGTCAATCAGTCAATGTTTCTCTTTCACATTGATGTTCATCTCTCTGCCCCCTCCCCTTTCTTCCTTCCTCTCTCTCTTAAAATCAGTAAGTACATCCTCGGGTGAGGATGAAAACGAAATTTTTTAAAAATACATTCACTAAGGAAAGCAGTTATTCACAAATATAAAGTGGAAGCTTCTTTGGAAAATGCGCATGTATATAACCAATGATAAAATTACAAAAAAAAATTTTTTCATTCTCCCAGCGCATATCAGGAAGTCAAGAATTCATTTTTCTCTCTATCCTCACCCGAGGGCATGCTCATTGATTTTAGAAAGAGTGGAAGGGAGGTAGAGAGAGGAGAGAAACATCAGTGTGGGAGAGAAATATCATTCAGCTGCCTCTCATAGATACCTTGGTCTGGGACCGAACCCAAAACCTAGGCACGTGCCCTGACCTGGAAGCAAACCTGTGACCCTTTGGTTTACAGGCGATGCCCCAACCAACTGAGCCACACTGGCCAGGACAAGGCATGGGTCCTTAGTAGTCAATACAGGAAGCCAGGATATCCAAGATGCATTTTCGTCTTTGGAGACTGAAATTACACAAAACAACTATCTGTAACTCTAACCCTTGGTTAGCTCTTCCAGAACATATTTTCTGAAAATTGATGCTGATATTCTTTCTCTGGCATTGGATGCTTTAAAATAAGATTAATACTACTAAGCTATGGCAGAGTTGGTACAGTGCCGTGATTCCAGAGAGTTCTGAAAAGTCTGTCTAACAGTGGTTAGAAATAAAATTCCAAACCAAGGTATTACTCGGCCTATTCAAAAACAGCAAAAGTTGGCCTGGCTGGTGTGGCTCAGTGACCGAGTGCCAGCCTGCGAACCAAAGGGTCGCCAGTTCAACTCCCAGTCAGGGCATCTGGCAGGGTTGCGGGCCAGGTCCCTAGTAGGGGGCACGCAAGAGGCAACTACACATGGATGTGTCTCTCCCTCTCTTTTTCCCTCCCTCCCTGTCTCTAAAAATAAATAAACAAAATCTAAAAAAAAACCAAAACAGTAAAAATTATTCATCTATGTCTCATGAGTTTGGTAACACAAAAAAACATTTCTATCATTTTGATTCTAACACTTAAAAATGTTCACATTTTCTGGGAAGAAATTTATATTCCTTTTGAATATAAAAGATTCAATCATATACAGGGTTTTAAATTGCATGTTACTGGCCATTTAATAGTTTCCAGAAATCATTCTGGTTTTTTTAACCCAGCAAGTAAAATCACTTCATAAAAATTCTCTATAACGGCACAAGTTGCCACGACCACTAATTGGTCAAATAATTTGTATAGTCACAATGGAAGTCAAGAACAAAAGTTTTTGAAAGAAACTGACTCCTGCCAGATATAACCTTGCAGCTGTAGTTCCTTACTACTCAGACAAGCATTCCACAATTCAAAAAGCACGCTGGACAGTGGCCATCCCTGCCAGTCTATCTGGTTACCGGTTTAGGGGTTCGACATACACCTACGAGCATCCTGGATGGATATTTGTGGTATCGGTGAGCAAAGTTTTATGATAAAGGGGTAATTTAAGATTGAAATGTGTGGGTTGCTTTTGGCTCAATGACTGCTTCCATAACAAGCGACAAGACTAGTACAGACTAGTAGCTGAGTAATGACATAATCGAGAAACTTCCTAAGGGCTTCATTAGGAAGCAACAAGAAAGAGCCCCTAACACCCTCTGCGCCTGCAGGACCCCCTTGGAGTACGCCGGGTACAAAGGGCACAGCCAGCACCACCAGCAGCCTCAGCTGGTGCACGCCTGTCAAGTATGTGCAGAAGAGTTGGAAACGATGGCGAAAGGTGACTTCCAAGTTGTGCATTTGGGACAGAAAACGTGGCAGAGATTCCGCTCTACCTGCTGGTGAAGCCAACAGCTGGATGGCATTTCCCAGCTCCCTTGTGCATGCAGCTGAGTGCCTGCCAATGCAACGTGAGCAGAACTAGAGTCCCGAGTCCCAAGCCCTGGGGAAATGGGCCGCCCCATGCCCTCATCCCCTGCCCCTCCAGGTGGGACGGTGACCAGACCTGCAACATGCACCTGAGGATGATGCCCTAGACAGAGTGGAGTCCCAGAGGAGGAACCCTGATGAGCCCCCAGCCACTGGCTAGCGTTAAAGACCCTCCATAGGCTGTTGCATGAAATAAATACACTTCTATCTCCTCCAGCCACTGAATTACTGTAGCAGCCTGGCTTTCCTTTAACTACTGCAAGATGTTTATAGGACCTTAGACACAACGACGTAGAGGGAAATGGCTGGTTCAGACGAAGCGAGGTAAGAAGCCTGCCTGTCCTTTCTGGCACGCTGTCCCCAGGTAGCACTGGCCTATAGCGGGGCACATATCACGAAACAAAAAGAGCGTCCACATACAAGCATAATTGTTCTGTGTTTAAAAAGATATATACCCATTAGAGATAGATGACAGTGAGGGGACCCAATTAAGCCACTTGAATTCTAAATTCTTCCAAATCTGAGAAAAAGACAAAAGCACACAGGCCTGGTGGCATTTCTGTGAAAGGACAAGTTGCGAAGCCAGGCGGTTCCGAGCCAGACTGCATTCCCCGTGGAGTACCTCGCCCCTGTGCTTGTCCAGGCCTTCCACCGTGGGCCTCGGCGGGACTCCAGGCGTCAGGGGCCGGGGCCTGGAGGGAACATGCGAAGGAACACGGGTGCTTACGTCCCGCTCCACTTCTCCGGGCAGCGGCAGCAGCAAATCTGTGGGATACAAAATATTTCACTTGATCCTTTCACTGAGTTCATAGTTGAACCAAATCATCTTAAAGCCTATCACAGTCTAAAGAATAAAGCCAATATGCTCAAAAAGAGTGAGTCCGTCTCACAATGCCTATCCTCCTCTTGGAACTTGACCCAAGGGATTCCCCTCTTTAGAAATCAGAAGGCCTCAGTGCATCTATTTTTATCTCACTGTTGCAAAGTTACCTTCTCTCTGAAAGGCCTGGGAGAAATATCGTTTGGGAGTAACTTGTTCATGCCTCTTACCTCTCAACCCAATTTCTACCACTACAGGCAAATAAAGCAAGGAGATGCTATTTTTTTCCTCATGTTCCTGGGGGGTGAAGAGAAAGGAAATGGAGTGTTGATTTCATCCCGTAATGATATGGCAATATTTCAAAAAAAACATATTAAAAAACAATGATGCCTGAAGGAAAGAACTTTAACTTTCAGCAGAAAAATGAGCTACTCTGTCATGTTCAGAATGCATGGTCTCATTTTCAACACCTGCAAACAACAAAAGCCTGCTTCCGGCTTGTTTGGCACCATCACAAGAGTTCAGTAGACAGTCTCGGTTCTCTGATCAGCCGACTCATCATAAGGGGATGTGCTCCCTCATTTCTGCACGGGTGACAGTCGATGGAAGCACCACAGACAACCAATGCTCTTCCACAGCTTTCTTTAAGGACAGAAAACAAACAGAAGCACAACAGGTTTCCTCCTTTGTCTACATTTTCACGGGACCAGAAGGGCTGCTGGAGCTGGCGGGTGACTTGCAGCCGGCTCAGGACGATGCTGCCTGCTACTCAGCGATGATCCGAATGACGAAGCCATGCTCTCGGAGGAAGTGACTGACCACCAAGAGGCATGCCTTGGCCGTTGCCAGTGGCAGCTTGTGTAGGGAGATGACAGAGCAGGATTCAATATTCAAAAACTGAAACTTATTTGAAATACATCTCTCACTGCACTGTGATGTCACATTCCCCCAAAAAATGTAATTAAAAATTCTGAAGACTCCAGCAACGAAAGCCTAGAAGCTGAGCGTGTGGGTAGGGCAGAGGGATGGTGAAAAGGGAAGTTGTACTATGATTAATTATTGAAACCATAAAATAGGACCTAATTAACTAGCAGAAATAAAAAACAATAATAATAGTCAACTCTTATGAGCTGACATATTATCTGCGTTATTAATTCAGCTAATCCAACAGCTCTCTTTTTTCTCGTCTTACAGGCAATGAGCTCTAGCATTGAGAGTAACCTCATTCAAGTGCCACAGCTGGAAAGTGCCAGAGCCGGGCAGTCTGTCTGCGAAGCCCATGATGTCATGTTACAAACTTCTTTTAAAAAAGCATTTTTGTTGAAAATATTGTTTAAACCTATCAGATGATACATCCAAACTCAGGGCCAAGAAATGTCACTACAATAGCACATTAGCACAGTTAAGCAGTGTTAAGGGCACTTAAACATATCACTCCCAGAGAAAATATTTTTAAACTCAGTAAGATTGGTGGAAAGACTGACTTTCTAATATACCTATTTATAAGTTCAAAGCCAAACTTGGTGCAACTTAACTGCCCAGGACTAGTGCAAGCCTGGGTAGGGGCCTGCCAAAAACAAAGGCAAAAGGAGAAAGGTCCAGGCATTTCAGTGTAAAAGCCGCTACCTACCAGACCCATTGATTGCCAGTGCAAGCATGAGTCCGTGTGTAAGATAAAAATCAATTTCAAATCTGATGGACAGTGTTACACACCAAGGAGGACAACTCTGCAATTCCTTTGCTAAACCTCTTCACCTCTCTAATATTCTGCAAAGAATGTTTTTCTTTCATAAAAACTCATTGCCGTGGGAACAATTCCTTCATACTCAGAATCCTCCACACTTCTCTTGCCATTTGCTTCCACAGTATAAAAGCAAAATGCTCAAATGCATGCTCTCGGTGCCTAACCCAGCACCTTATACACAGGGTATTCTCAACAAATACTTGGAGGCGGGAAATGAATTTCCTACATCCCAACTTCTAAACTGAACAGCAAGTATCAACAGTCTACCTTACCCTCAAAAAACTAAACTTTGCAACAGGGATAAGATTTCCACACAAAAATATCAGAGAATAATCAGAACAAAAGTGAACAGCCTTAACTCTAAAGAGGACAGATTCATAAAAAGAGTAAAACCAATAAGTAGGAGAATAGTCTAGTAAGACAGTTAAGAAGAAAGCTACCGTATCTTTTAGCCATTTTATAATCACAGGTGCGTTAGTTACACACACCTATCCTCTTTAGGAAATGATGGCATTCATTAATGGTGGGGAATGGCATTTCTGAAGTCTCTAAAACTTTCTAAAACTGAACAGCTTTAAGAAACTTAATCTTCTCTTAACTGTTGTTTCTGAAACTACCACGGGCCTGTTTTCCTCTTACCTAAATGCCACTATTTTGGTTGATGTGCATTGTAGAGTCAGGCAATGCTCCAAAAATAAGTCTTGATGTTAAACAACAAGACTGACTGGAAACATTTCAATCTCTTCTTTCTCAACTACGTGATAAGAATGTTTAATATTTACAAACTTTGTGTTCACTATTTGTCTTTCTGTATTTAGTCAATACACAGTGAGCCAAAAGCTATCATCACAATCTCCTACAGCATTAAAAAGTAAGCAGTACAAAGAAAAGAACACCAAGGCACAGTGAAATTACTAAAAATACAAAAACAAAAAATCGTAATAGCAGCCAAAGGAGAGAGACAGAAACCACACTGTCTGCAAAGGAACAACAATCAGATTGACAGTTTTCAATAATAAAGACCAGAAAAGGGTAGAGTAACATCTTTAAAATGCTGAAAGAAAGAAATTACAAACCTATAATTCTCTACCCAGCAAAAATATGGGGGTGTGAAATAATAACACAAAATAGGCAAGAGAAAAAGAATCTATAGAACTGGCAGGATAAGCAGGAACAAAACAGTGAGAGAATAGATTTAAAGCCAAATGTATCAGCAACTACATTAAATGTAAATGGACTAAACACTCCCATTACAAGACAAAGTTTCAGAAAATATATGTGTGTATGTGTATTTATAAATGATAGGCAGTGTTCAAGAGACACATTAACGTAAACCTGGGCACAAACAAAGCAGGAATAAATGAAAGTGGAAGTACAAAAGAAGAAAGGGAACTGCTGCCCGAGGAGATGGTGGGGAAGATGAGGGAAGACTTACTTCCTGGATGAGGCTGGCATTTGACAGTGATAATAAATCATATCCCCATCCCTCCAGGTGCAAAAATAGAAAATAAATAAATCAGGAGTCAGAAAGATGAGGAGCAGAATATGAACTTCATAAGAGATGGAGCTGAACTTAAAAATGGAGCTTTTCCTGCAGTCATGATTGGGCTTCTTATTTGCCAAGCTTTGCTCCCAAGTCTAGACCTCGAGCTACCCCCCCTTAGAGAAATTCTGCACAGCTAACATGCATGCAACCATGTACAAGGCGAACCGCTTCACATCCACAGAGCTCTTAGAGCAGGGGCTCAAGGGTTACACCTGCAGACCTCTGTCTAGAGATGGTTCTCAGCTTCGACTGCACGTGAAAATCATCCAGGGAGCCGTAAAAATGGATGATGCACGGGCACAGCCCAATGCACTGAAAGAGAATCTCCAGGTTTTGGTATTTTTTAAAGCTCCTCAAGTGACTCCAACTGGTCTTGGAGGTTAAATAAAACCTAGTGCACAAGACAGGCCCGGGCCCCTCCTAAAGTGTCTGTCATAAGAAAGGCGGCATCAACACAGGAGAGGGCATCTACCTTCCAAACAGTACGAACCCAAAAGGGGAGACACGTACACGTACCTTCCTGGTCCGATCTCTCTAGTTAGGCAAGGACTTCCTTTTCCCTTGGGGAAAAACAGGCGTAGGAATTGAGAAAGGGGAGAATTATGTTTCCAGTTCTGTTCTCCTCTCAGGAATAAAGTGAAAGCTTCCTCGTGGAACCTCAGGGCCTGGGCAGCAGACTCGTCCTTGTAGGTGACATGGTTTTCGAGCCAGACCTTAATGGACATGCTTGCACACTTAAAAAATGGAGGAACGGGGATAGGGGAACATTCGGAAGCAAGGAATTTTTCCTCCCAGTGTTTTTAGTGATCTTCAAAGCAATGAGAGAATGATTTTAACAGTACTAAGTGTGAAAGAAATGAAATGCCTAAACTACTAAGTTGGCTGAATGTGCCGTCTCCTAGCTCAGGCCCTTCACACGATGCTGATCCTTGTGCCGCTCCTGCACTCTCCTGCCCACCCTCAGCCCCGCTCCACCCCCCTCACCTAGTTAAAGTACTCGCCCTTCAGAGCACGGCTCTCAGGGTGCTTCCTCTGATCCCACGGACAAATTTAAGTTCCCCTGCCAGATGCATAGTCTCATGAGATCTAGAACAATCTGTAATGCATTTGTGATTATCTGGTCAGTGTTTGGTTCTCCCAATGAACTACGAATCTCATGAGAACAGGAACCAGATCTGTTTTATTCTTTGTTATATTCCAGGAACCAATCACAGTTGCTAAATATTTGTTGAATAAGAGTCCGAGGTCAGTGATACGCTACATAAAGCTGCTTCAGGTTACAGATAAGGAAAGAATTTTTTTAATAATAAGAGAGAGATGACTGATGCCTTTATTAGAACTGGGCATACCAGAGAGCTAGAAAATGAAAATCAAATAAGACTGCCGATCTTTCAGCAGGAATTAGCTGCCTATTCCCACCCAACACCATCAACCACAGAGTAAGAGCTGGCTTAACCACCAGCTGGCTAAGACAGCAGTGTAAGACAGTACACGAGGAGGCACCCAAAGAAACCAGAATTATCTTCTGGTGGGCAGGCCCCTTGAAGTATAGGCTTCCCCACTAGGTGAGTGTTCCAGGAACCCATCTGGATCAGGGTACCAGCTGGTGTTGTTGTGAGAGGCTGCGTTTGGTTTCATTATGACTCTTTCAACATGTTTGACCATTTCATGATGGTAATTTACCAGTGTACCTGCCTACGCCATGCTGAGTGTTCAGTAGTTTCTGACCAAAAATAGCATGACTGCTGTACCCCACCATTCCTCTTCACCCAATCTTACCCCAAGCAACTTTTTTTGTTGTTTTCTTGGATGAAAAAAGTCCTCAAAGGAAAATGTTTTTCCAATGTGGAAGAGGTGAAACAAAAAACAGCAGAAGCACTAGAAGGCATCAAAATCAACAGGTTCAAAAACTGTTTTGAACAGTGGAAAAAACACCTCGATAAGTATATTGCAACAAGTAAAGACTACTTTGAAGGTGACTGAAGTTTAAACATGTAAGGGTAAATGACAATTTTTTATAAATAAATTCTAGGTTTTTGTGGGTCCCCGCTCATAATGCTCAGAACTAGACCTCGAAAAGTTTCTTCAGCCAATTGCACTCAGCCAGCAAACAGGGTGGGCCAACTGAGGGCAAAATAAATAAATAAAGATGGCCAAGAAAGTCCTACTTTAGTGGCCTCAGGATAAATAACACCTATTCCAAATGATAATATCGCTGGGCAACTGCTAGGGTAGGGTGGTAATTACCCTGATGGTTAATTACCTTATTTCAAATTCAAAGGAAGAAAAAGTGGTTGATGTGAAATAAACACCGGGCCCCAAACTTTGTATCAACTACGGCTCGGCTGCTCCACTGCACTGCACTGAGCTGGACTCTGAGCAACTGTGTCCACCTGAGCCGCCAAATGATAAGCCAAGTACGGGGAAGGAATCATGTGCCTGGGTCTTGAAGAATATTTATGAAAGCAAGTAAGGTGAGCAAATGAGGTCAGTGGTAGAAAAACAATGTGCACCTGATTTCCTTAGGCAGATCTGTTGCTTAAACAATAACAACAGAATCTAATCAGTAAACCTCTCGGCTGCCAAAATTATACAAGCAACTTGCCTATTTAAAATGTCACATTTCCCATCTGATGTAAATATTTGCCTTCTGCTCACACTCCTGAAGTATAATACAAATTGGGCCAAAACTAAAATTCACCTTGGCACAAACTACATTTTTCCCCCTTTTACGTGACCCAGACTGTGCATTATGAAAACTATGAAGCCTTGGTGGTCTTTTTGGTAACGGGGACAGATCGATGCAGCCAGGTGCTTTTTAGCCTCGGCTTTTCACATTGCGTCACCTGTGGGAAGGCCGTGACCAGTTCACCCCCAGCCCCTGAGACTTGGTTCAGGTCTCCACTGCCTGCTAGGCACGAATGCAAGACTACCTGGGACCTGGTTTCGCGGGGGAGGGGGGGGCGGCGCGGCGGAGTGCTAGTGAGATGTTTTTACGAAAATTTTAAACTAAAGGAATAGATCTGATTTAAAAAATACTTGAAAATGTGCTTATGGAAAAACGTAAAAGGTCTAATTTAAGAGATGGCTATAACGAAAATCACATTCATGGGCTAAGCAGGTTTGTGTCAGGATGTAGACCTCATCACTGGCAGGAAGCAAGAAGATAAAACCACAGGGGAAAAAATGCCCGACCCATGTATTTTTGTGCCCTCCCCTAAAATTAATCTTATGTTGCAAATGTACTACATGCAAACCAGAACTCTTTGTCGCAAGTGTCATGCACGGAGGAACTCTGTCCGCGGTAGTGACTCAAAACACAGATCACTAGATGCCACCAGAGATCTTCTCCCTGGGGCACAGGACCCAGGAATGTTTATTTTTAACAAACTCCCCCTCTCTGAGTCAGCCAAAACCTGAAAGCCCAGTGCTTCCTCTACAAACTTGGCCCTTGGTCAGTCCTTAGCTATCCCTTCTAATCCAATCAGAGCCCATAAGCTGCTCTCACTCAGAAATTCAGAGCAACCCAAGGTGTTACAGTTAAGACATCCTCTCTTAGGGCTATGAGATTCCTTTGGATCTCTGATCTCACTTGAACCAAGTAAGTAAGGGAAAAACTCTCCAAAGTCTGCTGGTTAATAGAGTGCTTGATAAACAAACCCTTCAATAGAACAGTGTGATATCTGGACGCAGAATGCAAATGTTAGTTGCTTCGGGGCAGCAGAGGACCTCCGTTCAGGCAACCAGAGAAGCCAGGGGAGGGGTTTGAATGACTAACTTACCAGGAGCCACCCCCGCAAACAAACAGCCCCTCTGACTCCTGTCTGATTAGAAACAAGCCTCCGTAGGATAACAATGACATAATTCAGGTTTATGCCTAAACACTGTAAGCAACACTTAAATGCCAACCACCAGACCCCCGTGGAAACTGCCCCTTCCCTAATAAATGCTGACTTTGAAATAGTCTTGCTTATTAAATTAGGAAGCAACTAATTTAATTAGAGTTTTCGAAGCTAAGTAACTCGAATTTTGAGCATATTTCACTTTGAGCAAAAAAAGATACTTATGCTCACATAGAAATGTTCACCAGCAAAGGAAAAGGCCTCATTACACAAACATCAACGATCCAGCATCAAGCCTCTCCCAGCCCCGGCCGCGTGGGAAAATGCCCCAGAAGAAATATTTACAATATACCTTTAGTCTTAAGTGTTTGGTTTACACATTTAATAAATAATTATAAAAGCAAAGATTTGGATTTTATTTTTGTTTATGATCAATTCTGATATTGCTGTGATTTTTATGATTCATTGATGTTTTAGGTATCACTCCAAAATAATCTCAATTTACATATCATCATGCTTCTGAGAAATTGGGTTTAACTTAAATGACTTTGCATGAAACAATTATGCGAATATCAAGCATATGATAAATCCGTGCAGGGGAGGTTAACGCACCTAGAAATCTTTATTTCCCTTTTGAAGACTTAAGACTTTACAACCGTCAGCAGGCTTTGACCTTTCAGCTGAAATCCGTGTTATTGAAAAAGAAATTGCAGAACTCCAGTCTTCCCTGTTTCAGGGAAGATGGAGGTAGGATTGCCAGGAAAAAAAAATGTGTAAAGCTGCCTTAAGTCTTATTTGTAGCTTCTAGAAAGAGGTCGAGCAGAGTAGAAAGGAAACAGAGAAGGCATACCCTTACTCGTCTGGGGCTCGACCTCTTCATCCACATCCAAATCTTCTACTGCTAGGAAATTATCTACCTAGGAAAAGATTAGTATTATTTTTATGCATATGAGACCTAAAAAATGCCATTAAGAATCAATGAATCCACTTCTACAACACTCAAGCGAGCAACTGAATTCCATTTTTTCATTAACTACTGAGTCCTAGATGAAGGTCTTTATGTTCACATTGCTTTCCCAGAGACTTTGAAAGAAGCAGTCGATTTGGAAGTTGGCCTGGATTTTGTAGGCACCATAGTAAGATCTTTATACCGAAAAGGAAAATAAACCATCTGGGGAGTTTTTGAAGAGGGACTTTGTTCCAGATTCCATCCCAGAATAGATAAAACCATGGAGACAGTCCCCAAAACAGTGTCTCTGCTGGTTGTTACTATTGCTGCTGTTGTTGCTGTTGCCGTTGTTGTTTTATTACTTTTGATTCTCCAGCAAAGAATGGTGGTGGGTCTGGCTACTCCATTAACAGCATGCTTTCGCTCTAAAGAGCCAGAAAGAAAAGGAAACTGAAGAGAAAGCAGGAGAGCCCTGACCAGCGTGGCTCAGTGGGTTGGGCACAGTCCTGCAAAGCAAGGGGTCACCGGCTTGATCACATTCCCAGTCAGAGCACATGCCTGGGTTGCCGGTTCCGTCCCCGGTCGGAGCACAAAGGAGAAGCAACTGGTTGATCTCTCCCTCTATTTCTCCCTCCTTTTCCCTCTCTCTAAAGATAAATAAATAAAATATTTTTAAAATAATAAAGGAAGCAGGAGAGAAAGCTTAGTTCAAAACAAAAATCATCCTAACTCAGGTAAGTCACAAGAAAGGTGAGCAGGGCCAAAAATCAAGTGCTCTCTCTTTTGAACAAATAAAACTGAAAATTACTTCGAAGGTAAAAAGCAGAGCAAATGACCTTTCCAGACACGGGAGCAACATTTCAGTGAAAAATTATTCCACCTGGAATACTGCTTTCCACCGCAACACGACAATGAGACATTTCAGATTAAGAAAATGGTAACATTTCAGACAGGAATTCATTCATCTCAGGTGAATATCAAAGAGTGTAAATAAGAAAATGATTTCACCGCTGGCTCCAAGGAGACCTAGTGAAGTAAAAGCATAATGTCAAAATGCCTTTTATGCTTCTGACCTAAAATATCTGCATAACAAAATACCTTAAAATTGCAAATTTAGATCTCATAATTGGAATTCAAAAGACAGCCTGGGTCTTTCTTCTTTCACTCTATTTGCCAGGCCATAGCTCTTACACAGGAATTAAAAAGGGTAGCTTCCAGTGCTCGTAAGTACATAACTGCAGGTATTTCCTGGCATCCAAGTGACAGCAAAAATGCACTTTCCACATGCCAGTTTCAGCACCAAAATGTGAGGCTCTGTTATACTGTCATTTCTCCTAATGGCGTACGCCGGGACTAGATTCGGGTTTCTGTCAGAGTGCCCCTTCATTTATTAAGCTTTGAGGAAACAAGATCTGGAACCCAGCCAACTGTGGCTAGTTTAATATAATCAAACACCAATTTAAAAAAAACAGTTTAAGAACAAATTATGCCGAATCCTCCAACTTCTATGAGATAGCAAATGAGTCCTGTGGGATTTTTTTGTTTTTATGGTTTTTGCCATAGGAAAAAAAAAAAACCAGTAAACCAGACCTTACCTTCACCTTTCCAGCCCAATTCAGATCACCTTGAAAGGGGCTGCCAGCACTCTGGCCGTCATCCAGCGCTATCTGAAACACAGAGGGGGGGCTTTCTGATGGGAAAACGAAACAACTGGAAGGAGAAGGAGCTGATCTGTAGCCCCTCAGCCAATAAAACTGCCCTTCCGGTTGGCGTCAACTAGCTGTGTGGGATGATCCAGATTCACTGAATCACATCAGGGAATAGGGGACAGGCGTCCAGGGCTCTGACTTGCACTTCTATCCTCTAGACTTATCCAGGGTGTAACCCAAGTAGAGTATTTAACCTGACTTCTCTCAACAGTTATGCCACCTATTACCCCACCTCCAGCCCATCCCGATGAAACTTTGGAGGGCAAATCGGAGATGGCTAACACACGTTTTCAAATTTTTAGGAGACAATGCCACTGAACGATTCTGTGCCTCTGACGCGCCTGTCAGACTCCGTAGATAATATAATTCCCACTGCTGAAGGCTGTCCGCAGACAGTGCATTTGCTGGGGTTTGTGGCAGAACCGCCTCCGCGACACATTAACACATTCCCAGTGCAGAGATTCGGGCTCCCTGGTATAAAACCACAATCCCAAACACAGTTCCATCCACCACATCATAAGGAAAGCACAATGAAGTAGAAACCAATGGCTTTAAGCCCAATGGCTTAAAAAAATAGAACATTTTCCATGACTCTATCTACTGCCTCATCTTGATTTACACGCAAAACCTAGAAAACCTACAAAAAATGTGTTTTGTGGTTTACCAAGGAAAAAATACAGAAAATATTGCTGTTATATTTAATGAAGAAAATCAATTTTGTATAGTTTATTTCAACCTAAATAAAATGTAAATTTTGTTTTAAAAATGATAATAAGGCCCTGGCTGGTGTAGCTGAGTGGATTGAGCACCAACCTGTGAACCCAAAGATCATCAGTTCGATTCCCAGTCAGGGCAAATGCCTGGGTTGTGGGCCAGGTCCTCACTCGGGGGCACGTGGGAGGCAAGTAATCAATGTTTCTCTTGTACAATTTCTTTCCCTCTCTTTCTCCCTCCCTTCCTGTCTCTCTAAAAATAAACAAAATCTTTAATAAAATAAAAATAATAATAAGTAGAATAACTTTCACTTGGATTCCTTGACAGTTAAAAACCATAGCTAAGGAGACTATGACTATAGTCTATTCAGTCTTAAGGGCCAGGGAGACAGTATATAATATTTATTAACTAAATCCTGGAAAAAACAACATAACTGGCTTCCCCTTCAAGTTTGAAAGAGATGCACCCTCAACAGGTAAAAATATCTCCCACTTTACACAGAAAACTTAAAAAGGAGTTCTTTCATTCTATAGTTCTTTTCATTAAACAGAGGACAACCAAAAATGCATAAATAATCTCAAGGGAAATCTGTGGAGAGTAGATTCTTAAGAGGTCTTTAACACAAATTGGGGATAACCAAGTTACCACCATAAACATTAGCTGTTGAGACCATGAAATGTAGTAATGATTTTTAATAAAGTATCCCAGCAGTTCTCCATCTAGAATTTGGAGTCTCAGTCATTGATTCAATAGCAGCCCGATGTCCCATAGGGTACCTTTTTTCTTTTTAATTCAGAAAGACTGTTCTTTTCTGAGACTGTTTCTGAAAGTGTGCTACAGTAGTACCTGCTCCTCTTCCGAACACCGTGATGAAGTGTGAAGAGAGACAGCTTTACTTCCACGGGAGTGACTGTTCGGTTCATTTCCATGAGAATGTTGTGTCGGAGTAGGTATGTTTTTTGAAGAGTTAGTTCCGATTGCGCCTCTCTTGGTTACATTACCCTCTGCAAAGACAAGTTACATGATGTCAGGAAACATCCACCACAACCTGTTGTGCTTGCTCCGGGCCTGTCAGCTGCGTGGCGTCAAAGCCGGTGAGATCCGTGTGGTCCCGATGAGCCCAGCCTGGTGCCACTCCGGTCAGAATCCCTGGTTTGCTTCTCAATGTCCATCTCTGGTAGAACTAAAACTTGTAGGGGTGTCTAAAGAACATTAACACGGACATGCTGTTGGGGAGCAGGCATAAGGTGACCCAGTCTACAATTATGAACTCAATAAGCCAGAGAGGGCAAACACAAATATTAGATTTATCTCTTTCTCTGTAAAGGGGTTATATTAGCAAATAACACAAGCTCAGGCCAGCTCTCTGCAGCGCCGCCTGCACCAGCACCCATGACTCCTAATCAGCTACTACTGGGACAGGCGGCCCCTGCCTTTGGCCTGAACAAACCCTTAAAAACTCCAGGTGAAGAACCAGCCTTGGCTGCAGGGAGTTCTGTGAGTGCTGAGCAAGCAAGGTCACAGAGGGTTGCTTGGAATGCAGTGACAGGAGAGTCTGGTGAGACCAGTAGGGAGTGGGGCAGAAATCCAACGAGCCAATACCTCTCCCCACACACAAGGCAGGGGCTTGTAGGCACTGCCCTAGGCAGCCCAGGATTGAAACTGGAGCTGGGGTTTGATAGGCTCCAATGCCCTGGGGCAACTGTAAGCGAAGCCAAGGGGGCTGTGAGAACTGAGTGTGTTGCCCCAGTGGCTGAGCAGCTCATGACGGCCTGCGCAAAGCCTTCGCGGGCAGTGGGAGCCAGACGCCCGGCCTTGGGCCGAGACGCATGCACCCCTGTGCGAGGCTGGGGAACCACTGCCCCCTTCTGCAAAAGGGTGGCCAGAAGAGGGTGCCAACAACTGCAAACATGGTGGACATTAGCATGCAATGGTTGAAAAACTGGATACTCTGTCATGCATGAGTTTCTAGGTCGGGCCTTTAATCACAGACCACACAGGGAAACACGCACTCTCTTTCCTCTCCTCGCTAGGGCCCCAGGAGGCCCAAGGTCATGGACCGGTGGGCCCTAGGGGCCATGCATCCAGGAGCATTCCAGGCCCCCTGCCCAGACAGGTGCACACAGACTAGTGAGAGACCCCTGGGGCCAAACTGTGGCTGGGAACCTGGATGAGCATGCTATAGCCACATGCGTTTCCCAAAGGACAGTACTTTTAAGTGGGAAAAGGGATTTCAGGCGTTTCCTGAAACAGGTCTGGCCAGGCAGAGGGTGACAACCCTGTCACCCTCTTGGGTGTTTTAAAGGGAGTGGGGCTCTGAGGCAGAAACCTGCCATTATTCCAAAACTGTACGGCCTTTAAATAAATGGCTCCTTTCCTTTCCCACCAAACTTGTGATTGCAGAGTTTTGCCTACAGGCTGCGAGCAGCACGAGGCTGTTCCAGAACAAGAACCCTGTCCACTGCCGCAGTAACTAGCAGATGAAAGATCAGAGAAGTGAGGAGGAAACAGTCTCAGACTTATCCTCCCGGACTTCTTCCCGTTTCACAGCGACAAAGACGTCCTAAGTCTCTCCTAGGGCAAAGGTAAGCAGTGGTAGAAGGATGGAGCAAGACAGGCCTGCAAATGCTTGGAAACAGGAGCCGTATCTGAGAAACGAAAGGGTTCCCCAAACCTCATGCAGGTTAGAAGCGAGACTTCCTGTGGCCACCTGCCATTCTTCAGTGCTCTTTTCTTGTAAGAGGTGTGATTGTTTCCGTTCTCTGCTTATCCTTTAAGTCCTGCACAACCTGAATTCAGTCTCTACTGAGAAAATACTATGTACCCAGCACACCACTGTGATAGTCTATTGACTTAAATACTTGAAAAGCATGTAGTCAAATGGATTTTCCACAAGGACAAGTTCTATTTGTTCTCCTATCACACGATGTACTCCTCCACCATTTCCGAGAAAATGACCAGGTTATTTGACAGGTAACCAGATGAAACTCCTTCAAAAGAAAGAGCAAAATATAATGAAGTCCCTGCCTCTGGTGCTGCTGTTGAACTACTGGTAGGGACTCGGATCTAATGAAAACTCCTTGCTCACACTTTTAAAATGTCTTCCTTTTGGAAACATAAACCTCTCGCTTTAAAAGGGGGTGCCATAGTGAAGGGCAGTTCCTCACTGGACAGATCACAGGGCGTAGTCACGCCCAGACCTGTAACTTCTTTAGTGAAAGGTGTTTAGACCAGCCCTGCCCACTGTTCTTGTGTATCTGGGTTAACACACCTTGGAAATGCCAGAAGTAATGTCCCTCAAAGGCACAGCCACCCTCGAGAGAGCACATAACCTTAACTAGCCTGTGATCCAGTCCCTGTCTTGCTTTCTCTCACCTTCCTGTCATCTCCTTTAAGTTCCCTCGATTCCAAATGCATAAAGGAAATTGCAAACTGTTATATTCCTATTCTCCTGAGCATTTGCGATCTTGCTTCATGGCAGTTGTCATTAGTTTGGCTCAAATAAATTTTTATAAGAATTCTTTACAGGTTTGGATGTTCTTAGGCCAACAACCAGAAGGTTCTGGGGGGGAGGGGGACTTGTTTTCTCTGATTAAACTTAACATTTAAGTCTCCTTCCTAAACCTCACATGAATATGAACCATATAACTCTAAAGATCCAGAAGTGCTTCTTATAAGGCTTTTTATCATTTTCATTAAAAACAACAACAAAGAATAATTCTGTTGGCAGAATGAGATGGGAAAGAAGTTCTTTTTCAATATGACAATGTCAAAATGAATCCGAAGGGGCCTCGGGCCTGATGAGGGGGCCAGGCGCTGCCCCCGAGGGTCGGCCCGTGTCCTGGCCGCAGTCCCGATGTGCCACCCAAGTGCTCACCTCGTCTCCCATTTCTGCTTTTCACCAGGCCCCCTCCACTCTTTTATCTCGTCCCTAATGTTTCTTGCCTTGAAACACATGTCAAACATAATACATTTTAAAAAGCTAACAGCAGTAGTTCAGAGAACACGTAGGTTATTGAGACCTGAAATAGCATTTCTTTGGATATTTCTGGTCAAAACTTCAAGATAGATAAAACAAAGGCTTTTTTCCTAAAAGTTTTTTTTTTAAAGGTTTCATTATTCCGAAGTAATGGAATTTCAATTTTTTTTTTTTAGATCCAACAGACAAGTTTCCAACAAATCTCCCTTACAAGGCTACAACACCTAACTTCAGGTCAAAGAAAAAGGTTACTCTCCTTCAAAAGGCAGAAACTACTGATGTTTTGACAAATTAGATATCAATCATATATTGATTATACACCCTCCAGATGAAAGTGATCACTTTTGGGAAAGTCTGTTTTGAAGGAAACTTTGTGAAAATTCCAAGTCACCCACACATAAGCCCAACTAGTGTCCCCATGCTGAAAAGCATCACCCCCCCCTCGCGGGAGAGTTTGCACAGATCATCAGCACCGTCGTCAGAATTCACGACCAAATCCCGTCAGCCACCTCGGAGGGTCCGTTCTTCTGCACCTCGGTCAATAGCAGTATAAATCAAGAGCACATTCTCAGTCGCAAAGTGATATTGACTACGTTGCCGAAAGGAACAAAAAATTCACGGGGGGAAATTCTGTGCAACACTGGGCAGCTGCAAAAAGCCTTCTGCACAGAGAGCTGGGGATGAACAATCGCGTTCTAACAAGGTGGAGCTCTCTGAAAGTCACGGGGCTGCCTTCACAATACACTCCTGGCCTGGACAACAGCACCTGCTCTTCACTGGTCCATCCAAACGACTCCACTCCGCTGCGTCTTGATCACATGCCAATTGGTATCTGGCCTCCCCTGGAGCGATAGTCATTAGGATTAAATAAGCAATTTAAAAACCAATCAATCATAAATCGGAATAAATCCAAAGAGGCTAAAACGAGCACACGAATGTTTTGTCTAAATTCCCTTTGTAGTGCTCTGAATTCCAACTGTTTTATGTTCTTCACTGAAAGGGCACAGGGGGTGGAGGATTACCTCAGCCTGGCCCGTCAGGAATAATTGTGCCTTCCCCGAGGCTGGGTGATAATGGACTCATTATTCACAGGCATGGCTCTCCAGCTGCCAAGACACAAATGCATAACCGAGGTCCAGAAAAACGTGTGTCAAATGCCTGAGAGGAGGGACACAATGGCAGTAAGTTGAAATTTTTAAATGTCCAGGGTTAGGCCCTTACAGAGAAGAAATGTGGAGTATAAAGTTGCTGAAAGTTTATATTCCAGAAGAAAATCTGAGTGGCAGTTGAGTTAGGCCACTCATTCAATCCGAAAGTTATACCCCGGGCATCAATTATGTGCAGGGTGAAAAAGATGGGTAAGAACCAGTTCTACCCTTCCAGAAATTACAAATGAGAAGTGAAGCCAGGTATGCAAACCAACAGAACAGAACACAGCTATGGCAGATGATATAAGAAGGGTGGGTGTCAAACTCATTTTCCCCAGGGGCCACAGGGCCGAATGTAACTTTAGGACTGTATAAATGTAACAACTCCTTAACAGTTAAGAGAGAGCTTGGCACTTCCACCGGATAGAAACAAGGTGCCGGGCTGGATAAAACAAGGCGGAGGGCCGGATTTGGCCCGTGGGTGTGTTTGCCACCTGTGCTGTAAGGAAAGTACCAAGTCAGAGAATGGTGGTGTAAAATCACGATCGGTTTGGGAGATCACAAAAGGCATCTGAGCTGGGCTTCCAAACACAGCTCCAGTTTCAACAGGTGAAGACAGTGAGGAGTTCTCCCAGCAGGGGGAACTTGCATGAGCGAAGCCCCCTCCCCACCGCCCCTCCCCACAGTGGGAAAGCACAGAACTCAAGGGAGAAGCACCAGGTTTGCCAGGAAGCCAGGAGTTACATTTAGTGACACAGGGCAGGGCTGACACTGAAGGATCTGACGAAAACTCTGGCTTTACCCGGGTCCGTGGGAGTCACAGCTGTTCTCCAGGATGAAGTGGACACAATGGGGCAGAGCGGTTCAGACACTGCAGGAAGGAAGCACAGAAACGGTCCTAGCAGTCAGGGTGAGAAGTGAAGGGAGCCCCCACAGTGGATTTAAGATAAAAACAGCTCACAAAGGGATTTTTTTCACATTTCTGAAACAGAAATGAAGACATTATTGCCTGGCGGTTATGTTCCCTCCCTCTAGATACCTCTGAATTCATATTAGCCTTTTCTTGCCACTGCAGTCTGTGCTATTCTTTGGGTTTAATTCAGCATGCCTTCGGTAACTTTTTGTTTCCTTCACAATCTCTATGATGGTATGTTTGCAACCTGTCAAATGGGTTACAGTTGGGTGCAAAAGGCCGCACATATCACCCCGTAAGATAAGCTCCTTCTCCACTGATTCAGTCAAGGCCTCGGAAGGTTGGTGGCCCAGAGTGGGAGCAGGTGCAGCAAGTTCCAGCTCAGCTCCCCTTGGCCCCCAGAAACCTGACAAGAGTGGCAGGGGCTGGTGACACTGTCTACAGAAGGTGAGACTTCGCTGTGTTCATGTCTTTTTGTACCATAGCCCTTATCTACTTAACACCTGCACGAATGATTGCTTTTCTTAATAGGAAATATTTACAACAAACAGGACCCTCCTCGATCTTGAGCCAAACCCAGAGTCTCAAGGCCATAGGCTCACCCAGTGCAGAACTCAAGGCAAGGACGGAAGAATCCATGAGCAGTGCCTCTGCCACGCCACAGCTTCACTGCGGTGTGACAAGTCTGTGATTTTTACTGTGTGTGGACTTGTGCCACCGTCACCACAGGTAAGTTTTTAGGTCATTTCCATTACCCCAGAAAGGTCCCCAGGGCTCATTTGCCATCACCCCCTATTCCTACCTCCAATCACAGGCAGAATTGCTAACCTAGTTTTCACAGATAGAGATCTGCCTTTTCTACACATCCACATAAACGGAGTCATGATGTGTGCTCCTTTGTACCTGGTTTATGTCACATAACATCTTCGAGGGTCAACCCTGGTGTAGTGTGTATTGGTACTCCCCTCTTTTCATTGCCAACAATTACTCCATTATATGAATAGACCACATTTTGTTTTTCCATTCACTAATGGACATCTGGATTGTTTCCACATTTCATACCCCCTTGATTTTAATACCAAGTTTCATCCAAGGACCACGATCACCAAGCCAGTCCCACCCGTGACGGGATCAAAACAAAGGACACCCAGTGTTCTGACGTCCTTCCACACCCAGGTGATAGGAGAAATGCAGATCTGAACTAAAGCTACGGCTCTGATCACCTTATCTTCTTGGTGTGGTAACGGCTCCAGAATCTGACCACTTTCTTTTACATGGTCCTATTTTCTTCAGATTTATCTGAAATCACCCTTCTTAATTTTTTATTATCTCTTCACACTAAAATGTAAGCTTAGGAGAACAGGACTCACTCACCGTTCCTGCAAGGGAAAATGCTCATTCTTTACTCCAAAGGACATGTAACGATTAAGGCTGGGATGTAGACCGATCCTCAACCCTTCAACTAGTGAGCTCACTGTGCACCTGACCCTGAGCCCGGCCAGAAGACCAGAAGAGTTAAGGAAGTGGTAAGACGTGACCTTTGCCTAATAAGAAACATAACGCATTCCCTTAAAATTTTACAAACACAAAAGCATCATGTTTTGCGTACCATTCAGCCAGCATTTCTATGTCCATATATTTTTTCTTTCTCAGAACAATCATTATTGTCTAACGAAGATTTTTTTTAATCTACCACATTTATTATGTTATCTGTCTCCCCATCTAGGATGCAAATTCCCTGAAGGTAATGATTTTTGTCTCTTCTGTTCACTTATATAAATAGTATTTGGCACGTAGTAGGTATTCAATAAACATTTATTGAATAAATGAGGATATATCATGTAGCATCATTAACAACACCTAAGAATTAGAAATAAGTATCCAACAAAAAAGGATGGTTAAATAAATTATGGTATATCCACACAAATATAATATAGTTATTAAAAATACTGTTAAATAGCCATATATATTGACATGGGAAGATGTTCATAAGATAATATCATATGTAAAAGCAAGTTATAAGAGGAGTATGTATAGTATATTTCCACTTTTATAAAATAATTACCATAAATTTGCTGACTATATCTTAAAACTTTAGTTGAACCCTTCATGTAATTCAGATACTGTTCATATAAAAAATGTATGTATGTATGTATATGTACCTATATGTGTATATATAATTACTTAATCCTAATAACAAGTCCATGAAGTAGAGGTTATTATAGCCATCTTACAGATGATAAATCCGAAGCTCAGAGATTTTTTAAAACTTTTTAGATAGCTTATTTTTTTTTTTGAAAGAGGGGAAGGAAGGGAGAACAAGAGGAAGAGAAACACTGATATGAGAGAGAAACACTGATTCGGTTGCCTCCAGCACATGCCCCAAGCAGGGACCAAACCCACAACCCAGGCCTGTGTCCTGACCAGGAACTGAACTGGTGACCTTTTGCTTTGCGGGATGACACCAAACCCACTGAGACACACCAGTCAGGGCATGAAGCTCAAAGATTCTAATAACCTTCTGTAGACCACCTAGATGGGAAGTAGCAGAGCTCAGATTCAAATCCTGATTGTCATCAAGTCTCATGTTCTTAACTGATAATTACATATGCATACAAAATAACCAACAGAAAAGTTTATGAAGAATTAATTCATCAATAGTTTACCTCTAAAACCCCAAATTATGCTATTCTTAATTAACTAAGTTGGCCCTGGCTGGTGTGGCTCAGTGGACTGAACATCAGTCTGCAAACAAAGGGGTTGCCAGTTCAATTCCCAGTCAAGGCACATGCCTGGGTTGTGGGCCAGGTCCCCAGTAGGGGGCGCACAAGAGGCAACTACACATTGATGTGTCTCTCCCTCTCTTCCTCCCTTCCTCTCTGTCAAAAAATAAATACGTAAAATCTTTAAAAATTAATTTGGTATAGTTTGCCTACATGAAACAGACACCCAATAGCTTGAATAAGATGGAAGTTTCTTTCTCCCGCATGCAATAATACAGATATAGATAATTCGGGACTAATGTGGTTGTTCTGCCCCAGTCATCCTAGGACCCAGGCACCTTTGATCCTTCTGTCCCTAGGGCACTACCACTACTCCCTCACTCCAAACAAGAGGATGAAGAAACAGAGGCAGAAAGTGTACGCATCTCTTCCCTCTGATATTAGTGAAGGCCTGGTTACTCTATCGAGTAAGCTACTCTGTCGAGTAGGCACCAAAATAGAGCAGCTGAGACAGTAACTATTCTCTCTCTCACGTAACAGTTCAGGGCAGGGGGGCAGGCTCTGTTCCATGCGATGATCAGGGATCAGGGCTTGCGGGCTGCTCTGCTACCTTCAGCACACGGCTTCCACTTCTGGGCCTAAAAAGTTACTCTAATGATTGCCTGTTTCCAGCCGGGGGAAAAGAATTTTTTTATGAAAAGTCCAGGACATGTTTCTTAAAGAATATGGTCCGGAAGTTACACATGCCAGTCCCCTCACTTCTAATTGGTAAAAACTTCGTCAAATGGCTACACCTAACTACAAGGGAGACCGGGAGATGTCATGTCTATTCAAGGGGCCATACAGTAGCTAAAAGTTCTGTGGCTATAGAAAGAGCATGCTTTTTGTTTTGCTGTTTGTTTATATATGTGTAGTGGCGTCTCCCTGTATTTTCTAATTTTCCTGCCACGACCAAAAAAAATTTATTTGTAGAAGTGAAAAAGCATTTCCTTCGAATCCTCAATCTAGGGAGAATACATACATGTATCTCTTCTTTCCCAAGAAGTATTTTCTGGAAATACTGAAGAAAAAATATATATATATCCATATGTAGTATTTTACATTCACATTTTTTATCTTTTAGAGTCAAGATTCCTTTAAAATTTAACTTTGATGTCCCTCTTTTAAACCATAGTTATCCTAATCATAAAATTTTACACTTGAATAAAAGTGACTTCATGTGTGAAATACACAGCAGAAAAAGTACTAAAAGCAATAAAATTATTGAAGGGGCATTTCCTAGAATCGCATCAATCAGACGCCTCCATAGGCCAGGTGGCGTCCCAAGACTCTTTCCTGTGTGCTTGCTAATGACGAAATGCTCCCACAAGAGAAAAAAGAGAAAATGTCTTCCAGCAACAATAGCAGTAGGCAGGACTCTCCCTGTGCTGGAGTAACTGGGCTCCAGACACAGGCGCAGGGATCCTTCAGGCAGTGATCCCTGGGACAGAATGGATGCTGAGCCAAAGCCCCCCTGAGATTCCCTAAACTGGCGGAGTCTAGCCTCTGTACCAGAGGTTAGCAAAACCACAGTGAAGTTATTCTGGTAACCCATCACATTTTTCACTGTCAAAGTGCCTTTTAAATAATACAAAATGATGACATGAAATGAAAAATTCTAGCAAAGTAACTGTTGTTACCCTTTGAGTAGAGAACGTAAAGAACTTCACAAGCGCTCTGGTCCTTCTTAGACAAACGCAATATACACAGTAGCACAGGATTTTGAGGAACTCCTACATCTCCCCATACCTTTCCTTGATCTCATTTGGGGTGCATTTCTCAAAGCTGGCCTGAAAGTCAAGGTCCCTGGGCTGCACACCAGAGCTACAAAACTGGCATTTGTGGCTTGATGCCCAGGAATCTGCATTGCACTAAGCAGGTGATCGTTACAGACACTTAAGGCAAGAGCCCCATGTAAAGAATCCACAGATGGAGTAGAATCTTAAAATTGAGAATAAAAATGAAGTATTTGATACCTTATCTTTGTCAAAGAATATGAAACACCCTTGCCTGAAGGTCACATGCAGACGTTCTATGTGGCCCATCCACCAGAGGCCAGTGTTGGATCATTCCCTGGACTATATGGTCCTACGCTGTACAATACACACGACACACAGACACGCTACAATACAGAGCTGGCTTTAACTACTTCAAGAAATATGGTGCGGACAACTAACACTGAAGGTAGCATTTTGC